TTTGGCAGCAGCAGGTCCCCAGTGGCGGGCTCTTGTTCTCAGCACACTTCCCGGGTTGACCGCAGCCCACCCTGGGTGCCAGGAGCAGCGCACCCGCCGCCGGGCTCCCGTGCCACCCTCAGTGCCACGCTGGCACCACCTGCCTTGGCCCTGCCGGCCGGGGCATTTGGGGGGGAGGGGGCAGCGGGGAACACGAGGGACCCTGCTGCCGATCAGTCCCCTGACCCCCTCCTCTTCCTCCTCCCCGCTTCAGGGGCCGGCGGAGCCGTGTTCACGGTGCGGGGGCCCGAGAGGACCGGACGGATGGGCAGCGGCTGGCGAGGTGAGCGGAGCTGTTAGGGGGGTCCCCACCTGCCCCCCCAGGGTATCACGAGCGCGGAGTGAGGTCACGGTGCCTGCGGATGGCACGTGCCGGTGGGGGTGACGGTGGCGGGGGGGTTGGCTCGCCGGCATCTCTGCCCTGCTCGCCCCTCCCCGGGCGCTGGCAGGCGGATTGATTTCAGGTGACAGCTCGGCGGGCGAGACCGTGCGGGCAGCGCCCCCCCCCCGCCCGCGCCCTGTGCCAGCCGCAGCCATGTGCGAGATGCGATGAGGCAGCAGGGGATGGATCCGGCCCGTCGGCCGGCTCCCGTCACGCGGGCGTATGGCGTGGGTTGGGGCAGGGGGAGTCACAGCAGAGACCGGCAGAGCCCCCCCAGCTGGAGGGGTGGGAACAAGCCTCCACGTGTTGGGGCTGGGAAAGAGCCTGGTGCTCACCTGGCAGCTTCCCCCTTGGTGGCCCTCCCTAGGGAACCCTGTGCCCCACTGTGGATGGTTGGAGGTGGAAAGCAGGCTCTGTGGGGTCACTGCTGAGAGGTGGGGACTCTGGGGCAGAGGAAGTGGATGACCCTGGTGTGTGGGGCTGTCCCCTCCATGATGCCCATGAGGCAGACAGGCGGGCAGGCTGCCTGTGAGCCAGCTCTCTGCAGGCCTCTCGGGATTCGCATCCAGTCCTGGCACACTTCCCATGGCAGGGTCACACCAGGGCACGGCACGAGGCAGGACTGCATCGCCACTGCCCTACTGTGCTACCAGCACCCCAGAGCCCCTGGCAGCCCCAGGCTGCTCCACTGGGGTGCTGAGGCCAGCATGGGGGTTCCTAGTACCACTCCCCCCAACTAATCCTGATTTTGTTCTGATTCATTTGGCATCTCCTGCCCTTGGGCCAACCTTCACTTAGAAGATTGGGGATGGTGACTGGGGACCTGGGGATGCCCCTATGCCCACCTGGGTGGCTGGTGGGGCAGTGTTGTCAGTGCCCATGGTTCTGATGCCCTGTCTCCCTTGCCTGCAGGCTGCCCACGTGCCCCTGCCCGCCGGGGGCCACCCCGCCATGGCCATCGTGCAGACACTGCCAGTGCCCCTTGAGGCTGTGTCTGAGGGGGCCACACAGCTCCGTGCCACTGCCCGCTCACCCCCTGCCGCCATGGGCAGTGTGGGCAGCCTCCTGCCCGTCCGGCCTCGCCACGACTGCGCAAGTGATGGGGACCCCTCCGCCGCCTCCTTCTGCAAGCAGGAGGGGCTACTCCGAGCCACTCCTGAGGAGCCCCGCGTGTCTGTGCCCGGTGTCACCCACTCCTATGCCAATGGGGGCTTCTGTGGCGACTGGCTTGATGCCTCCTCTCCTGCCAGCCCCTGTAGCGACTCAGATGATCTCCGTGATGACCAAGCACCAAGTGATCACCTTCGGGGGCCGCCCCCCAAGCTTGTACCTGTGTCTGGCAAGCTGGAAGAGGTGGGGGGGGTGGCAGCAGGGTGGGTGGGTGTGTGCTGCAGTCTTGACTTTCCACCCTGTGCCACACTGGGACTGTTGGCTCAGATGTGTGAAATGGTATCATATGGCCACACTTCTGGTGTCCCTGGGAAAGTGGCAATCCCTATGCTCTTAATGTCCCCTCCATCATGACAAGGGTGTCTGGGAGCTCACCTGAACACGCATGGAAAGGCGATGAAGTGGGTGGTGACTGGCCTCTGTCTCCTTTGGGGTGTGAAGGCATCAGGGCTGGGAGCACCCACTGTAACGTTCCTAGGCACCCCTTTTTAGGGCTAATGGGTCCTCCCCATCACCTCACTCTTCCCTCTTTTCCTGGCAGAATGTGGAGAAGACCCTAATCCGCCCCATGGCCTTCAAGCCAGTGGTATCCAAGCTTCGGAATGCCCAGCCAGGCACACGCCTAGGGCTCTCAGAGAGCCAGGTGAGCCTCACCCACTTGCTGGCTGCTGAGAAGCCTGGCTCTCTGAGCTGCCGTGCCAGCACACTCTCGGACTCGGGGCGCAACTCCCTCTCCAGCCTGCCCACTTACAGCACGGGCTGCAGCCAACACCCAGAGGTGGGTGCCCTGCCGACCACCCCCCATGGCCCCCTTGACCCTCCGGGGGGCTGCCGCCCCTCCAACTCGGACAGCGGACGCTCATCCTCCAGCAAGAGCACGGGCTCGCTGAGCGGCCGGGGCCGGCCCTCCTCAGAGAGTGGCTCCTGTGGGCGCTCTCCACTGCCTGGCGAGGAGGCCATGCTGGTGCGGGAGCTGGAGGACAAGCTGCGGGAGAGGGAGGCCGAACTGCGGCTCCTGCGGGACAGCCTGGATGAGAACGAGGTGGCCATCTGCCAGGTATGTCCCTGGTGTCCTCATGTCCTGTACCTGTCCCCCTCCCTGGAGACAGGTGTCAACATAACCCCTGGTTGGGAGTAGGGACCCACTTTGAGGACCCATTATAGACCCGTGCAGAGGGATACATTTTCCTGTGGGTCTGGGTATGTGGGTTTTTCCCACCAGCTGCGTGGTCCATGGGGGAGCCTTGTTTGGCCCATGGGACCAGCTGAACAGACTGGGGTGCCTTATCTTGGGATGCCCTTTTTTGAATGAACCTGGGACCTGTGGCTTCTGCTTGCTTGTGATGGAGCCGGAGGAGCCCTATAGGCTCTGGGGATGCTAACATGGGGGGCTCATCATGCAGAAGTATAGGGGAGCACAAGGAGGTGTGTACCACCACATTGCACTCTTCCTGGACCCTTCCTCCATTTGGGGGAGGTATGCTGCCCCCTTCCTGTGATGCAGATCTTGGAGGTGGCAGGTGAAGTGGGAGGGTGCCATGCTGCCCTCTCAGCACCTGTGCATCCCCTGGCCCAGGTGTTTGAGGAGAAGCAGCGTCGGTGTGAGCAGGAGCTGGAGGGGCTGCGGCAGCGCTGTGCGGCCCAGGCGCGGCAGGCGGCCCACGCAGCACATCGGGGGCAGCAGGTCCTGCAGCTCCAGGTGCTGCAATTGCAGCAGGAGAAGAAGCAGCTGCAGGAGGACTTGACCCAGCTGCTGCAGGAGCATGAACTGCTGGAGCGTCGCTGTGCCTCCTTCCAGCGGGAGCGCACTGAGCTGGCACCCCGGCTGGAGGAGACCAAGTGGGAGGTGAGTCACTCAGCAGCACCAGGCGTGTCAGGGGGTGCAGGCTGTGGCTGGGGGGTCCCGGCTGGCACCTGAACCCCATCATCCCCACAGGTGTGCCAGAAGTCAGGGGAGATCTCTCTGCTGAAGCAGCAGCTGAAAGAAGCGCAAGCGGAGCTGGCGCAGCGGGGTGCCGAGCTGCTGGGGCTGCGGGCTCAGCTGCGGGAGGCGCGGGCGCAGCTGCAGGCGGGCGAGCGGCGGGCTCAGGGGCTGCAGGAGGCCGCCCGCCTCAAGGCGCTGGAGCTGGAGGTCTGTGCCAATGAACTGCAGCGCCGCAAGAGCGAGGCCGACCTCTTTCGCGCCAAAGCCGGCCGGCTCGAGCAGGAGGTGGTGGGGCTGCGGGAAGCTGCCCGCGGGCGATGCCCACCAGGCACTGGTGAAGGGTGCCCCCCGCCTGGGGAAGGATGCCCCCCGGCCAGCGAGGAGCCCCGGGGCAGTGCGGGGCTGCGGCGGCAGCTGGAGCGGCTGCGGGCGGAGGTGGCGCTGGAGCGGCGGCGTGGGCAGGAGCAGCGGGATGCCTTCGAGCAGGAGCGCGGCACGTGGCAGGGCGAGAAGGAGCGCGTCATCCGCTACCAGAAGCAGCTGCAGTACAGCTACATCCAGATGTACCGGCGCAACCGGCGGCTCGAGCAGCGGCTCCAGCATCTCCGGCTTCAGGGCGAGGACCCCCTGCCCGAGCCCTGTGACCCACCGGACCCGCCCTTTGAGGAGATAACAGCCACCGAGATCTGAGATGCTGCCTGCCCTTGCCCCATGCATGGAGGGCTGAAGGGGCCTCCAGCCTCTGTGATTTTGGGAGCTGTGGGGGGCCCCTGCTCTCCTCCAGCTCTGCAAACTGCAGCCACTGTGAAGGGGCAGGGGAGACCACAGGCGCTGCCCCTCCCCAGCGTTGAGGTCTTGGGGCGAGGATGTATCGGTGCCCACAGGGAGGGCTGCCTGTGAGATGTGGGGTCAGGTGGGTGCTGAGTCCTGGCCTTGGGGCCGCCCGGAACTGGTTTCTGCTGATCCTCTTAGCTCCTGGGGATTAGCAGCACTGGCTTCAGCCAGGGTCACCTTGGGCAGAGGGAGGGCTGACTTGTCCCCTCCCTCTCATCCCTGCTGGCACTGTCACCCAGTCACTTGGCGTGTGCCCTGTCTCTGCCCATGCCAGCCTCCCTCATGCCCCTTTGTGTGTTTGTCAGGGAATTCGTTTCTGTGCCATTTTAAATAACTCTATTTTTATAGGACCTACCAAAACATATCACCCTCTTCCAGCTCACACTTCACCAGTCTGTGCCCCCTCACCCCTACCACGGGGCAGCTTGCCCTCAGTGCCTTTCCCATGCTCTTGCCCCCCAGCATCCCTCTGTTTCCCCCCCAGAAAAGCCCATGCCTCTGTGATGCCCAGCCTGCCAGGGGAGAGGGGCATGGTGCTCCATGTGCCAGCTGGGGACACCCTGGGGACACTCCTGGGGATGGGCAGAGGTGAGGGGCCCTGCTGGGTACCCGGGGGGGTCAAACCAAAGGAAAAGTCTGGATGTGCCCAGCTGTGGCTTGGTCACCCCTGGCTCCAGGGGGGGATTTTTGTACTTTATTTCAGTCATGTCTCGTTCCCAGAGCCTGGCTCATCAGTGTACCACCCGGAAACAGCAATTAAAAACAAGCCCCTGGCTGTGTTTTTTTCAGGACTCTGTCTGCATGTCCAAAGCAGGGTCAGGGACCAGCTGTCCTTCCCCTATGTCGCCAGTGCTGTCCTCCCTTGGGTCCTGCAGTGGGGAGCTGCTCCATGCCCTTGGGGCAGGTCTGGCTCTCACCCTCTGGCTGCACTGAGGCCAGCCACAGCTCAGTGCAGGAATGAGCCATCTGACTCCTCTGGAACACAGCATGGCTCCTCAAAAAGGGGCTGCAGCATCACTCCGGCGGCGGTCCAGGCACCCGCACCACCAGCTCCATGGGCTCCTTGGCTTTGTTGCGGTAGGCCTGGCGGATGATGTCCACAGCCCTCTGGTGCGTGACATTCTGCAGGCTCTCCCCATCCACCGACACCAGCTCCTGCCCGGCCTAGGTCCCAGATGGGAACACCACAGGGTGAAGTGCAGCTGCTTGAGGACTTCAGAGGACTGCCAGCAACCCAGTGGCACCAGGGGATGGGAGTGTCTGGATATCTGCCCACCCCCTGGCATGTGCTGGGACCCCCGTACCTTGAGGATGCCACTGAGGAAGGCAGCTCCACCAGGGAAGATCTTCTCAATCTTCACCACTGGCTGTGCCCTTGACTCAATACCACCAGAGATGCTGATCCCTGCAATGGAGCCATGAGACCCTCACACCTGGGTAGGCTGGGACCCCAATCCACTCCCAAGCACCAAGCACCACATTTCCCTGGTGAGCTGCACCTCTGTCTTGCCCTATTTTGGTAGGTCCTACAGAGATGAGGGACTGGGGCAGGGACAGCTATTCCCCCCCATTCTCATTTTGGAGGAATGCTCTGGAGTTTGCCCCTTGCCAAGGGGGTGCCACCCATCCCACTGATGCTGCTGCCAGAAGGGTCCTCACCCCACCCTTGGAGTCCCACCCATGTGCCACCCACCCACGTGCCACCCACCCAGTGAGTGCTTCAGCTTGGAGAGGGTGACGGTGAGCAGATGATACTCTTCCTCCTCCTCTTCCTCCCTGCCAGCATCTTCAGGGCCATTGGCTGCCCCAGCCCTTGCCTCACCCCCTGGCCCCCCAAAGAGTGGGGCAAGAGGAGGCCGTGTCCGCTGGGGCTTCCCCAGCACTTCAGCTTCTCTGCTGGGCGCTGTCCTGGGGGGTTCCTTGCGCCAGGTGGTCCGGGGGCTGCGAGAGTGCCCATGGCCCTTGCCAGGGGAGGGCTCAGCCAGCAGCCAGTTCGGGGCCTGAGGGCTGAGGGTGGGCAGGGGCCGGCTGGTGGAGGCATAGGCATCCACTGGCACGTCAGGGAGCGGGGTGTAGGTGCGGGGGTGAGGCCGGCGGGGGCTGGGGGAAGCTCTTGGACGGGCTGGGCTCGCCTGCTGCTCCCCCGCTTCCTCTGGCTCTGGGGTCCCTGCTGGCTTCAGCAGGAATCCGCCCCGATAGTCTGCAATGAGAGAAGCTCAGGGATCTCCCCAGGGACCCACAGCCCTGCTCTCTGGGACCCCTGCCACGCAGGCCTCCCATGAGTACCCCAAAGCCCTGGGTCCCTTGCCACCTAGCGCCCCCCCTCATCTAGAGACCCCTAGACACCCCAGTTGTCTGCAAGCACTCCATGTTCTCCTCCCCAAGAACCCCAGCACCCAAGATCCACAGATTTTGCTGCTCCCAGTCTTCCCAACACCCAGAGATGCCAGATGCCTTCTTCCCTGGGAGCCCCTGCACTCAGGTATCCCAGCCCCCTTTCTCTTGCCCCAGACTCCCTCCACCCTGTCCCCACCCTGCAGCCTGGTGTCCAGGCAGACCCTACAGGTGGCACTTACCAGGCACTGGTGTGATGAGGTGTCTCTTGGGGGGGGCGTCATGGTGGGCCGGGCGGAGGGCAGGTGAGCGCACTGCAGTCAGGGAGAACCCCCAGTCACCTCCTGAGCTGCACCCACCCTTGACCACAACCTGCCCCCAGTCAAGGTCCCTGGGGGGCTGGGATCTACCTGAGCGGCTCTTTAGGGCATCAAAGGCTTCCAGCTCCAGTGGCATCACCATGCTATCAAACCTGCCCAGGTCTGTGGGGGCCACCACGCTCCTGCCAAGGCAAAAAGGTGGGGACAGATTGTAGCAGCCTCTGGGGTGCAGTGTGATCAGGGCTGAGGAGTATGTGTGAGGCTCCAGTTCAATCACACCAGGATGGGCAGCACTGGGGTTCCCAGATATTTCCTAGTAGCACTTGCCTCACGTCCCGTAGCAGCAGGACCTTCTCGGGCCGGTCCAGGATGGCCAGCAGTGGCCGCACCAAATCCTCCACACTGCCCTCATGCAGGTACTGCCGGCACAGGAGGGGGATCAGTGGATCACCCGTTTCTTGGTTTACCTCCCAGAGTTAAGCATGGGCACAGAGTGCTCACCATGCCCCTAGGACTTCAGGAGCTGTCCAGGGATGAGCCCAGGGTGGCAGCGCTGCCCTGCCTGTGCCCTGCCTGCCCCCTGCCATCGGTGCATACCCGGGAGCAGTGGCGGAGCACGGCTGTCACCTCATCGGGGCTGAGGAGACGTGCAGCAGTGTCCTGGATGTGCGGGAGCCGGGCCTCAGGGTCGCTGCCATTGGGCTGCAGGGTGGCCATGCCCATGGGGCCCAGGATGCTGGCACGCCGGCTTTTCTCTGGGGAGGCACAACAAGGAGGGGTGGCCAGCGGAGCAAGGACTGCCCCAGCCAGCCCAGAGAGTTCCCCATCCCCCCTACCCCAGCAGCTCACTCCACACCAGAGCGGGACAGACACAAGCAGCGCATGCAGAGCCTGCCCCACGGCCCCCCAGGCACACAGCACCCCCGTTACCCCGCCTCAGGCTCCGGATGACAAACTTCTGCACAGCACCTACTGCAAGGGAGATGGAGAGCGGTGAGTGCCCAGGGCAGACAGCAGCACCCATTGTCAAAACTGCGTGCTTGGGGAACCCCTCCCTGTGCTCCCTTCATGCCAGGGATGCCACAAGGCCCATAGAAGGGGGAACAGTCCCACCTCGAGTCCCTCTCTGCCCTGTCACCCAGGCTGATACCTCTGTCCCCGTCAGAGCGCCCTGGGGACTTGGAGCGTGCCCAGCGTTCAGAGCCAGGGGCCTCCTGGCTGGGGGGGGCCCAGCTCTGGCTGGTGGCACGGCCCCCCTTGAAAAAGAGGTTGACAAGGGTCTTGGAGCGGTGCAATCCTGGGGTAGCCCCCCGTGCCCCTTGTCCCTCTGGCTTCTCCTTCTTCCGCTTCTCCTCTGTGGACAGATAGAAGGGGCTGTTGGAATGGAGAGGTGAGGGGATGCCATCCCAAATCTTGCCTGGGGACACAGAACTTTGGGGGATTGGAGGGGCTACTGGGAGACGCTGACTGGAAAAGAGTCCATCTGTAGGGTGCAGTGGATCACCAGGGGCCATGGGGCTGGGCTTTGGGGTGCCTGGGAAAGCCCAGGGACAGAGCTGGGGCTATGTGGGGTTATAGGATACCCAGGACTAGTGGCCAGGGGGCCATATGGGCTATAAGGTGCCAGGGTAGGGACCTAGACATTCACTATAGGAAGCCCAGGAGTGGGGGGCAGGTATCCATGTATGTCAGGGACTATAGGATGCTTGAGTGGGAGACAGGCTCTCCACATGGGGCAGGGCCTGAGCTGTGGGACTCCCAGGGCTGGGTGTGCAGGTTGGAAGGGGACTTCAGCCAGGGTTCAGTCCCATGTGTGGGGCTGTGCCCCGGTGCCTACCGGCGACAGTGAGGTCACTCTGGGAGCGTGTGATGGGCTGCCGTGGCCGGCTCAGCGCCAGCAGAAGCGCCGTCTTGGGTGAGTGGGTGAAGGTGCGGCGTGGGTGGGTTCCAGGGGCCTCGCGGGTGCCCTGGCCCCGGATGGCCGTGTCCCGCAGCAGCTCGGGGGGCCGCACTGTGCGCCGTGTCTCCGGCAGCCCCTCCGTGGCTGGCTCGGTCTGCATGGCCCGCTCAGCACGTTCCCGCACCCAGCCCCGCCGTGGCCCGTCCTCCGTGGAGATGGCCACATCCACGGTGCGGGCTGGGGGCACTGGGGAAGCTGCCCCCAGCCCATTCACCGCCCCTGGGGCTGGTCCTGAGGAGTAGGAGGAGATGGAGGAGCTGGTTTCCGAGGTCTGAGCCAGCTGTTGCAGCTGCCCGTTGGTCACTGCAAAGGCACAGCAGGACACACTGTGACACACTGTGGGCCACTTAGAGCTCCATGTCCCTCCCAAAGACAGCAGACATGTCGGGAACCCGCAGGGCCATGGGGACCTGTGGACTACTGGCCATTGCATAGGGATCATCATGTCCTCTCCAAGAAAGTGGACATGTAGAATGCTGTGGGATCACAGGGACCACAAGGCTGCTGGCCATGGCAGGGGGCTCTTCATGCCTCCTCCAAGGATGGGCACAGCTGGGACCTTGCAAGTCCATCAGGCCTGTGGGTAAGCTAACAGTGGCACAGGGAGCTCCCTGCCTCCTCCAAGGCCTTGGGACCCCATGGCATGCAGACCTTCTCCCTCCCTACAGTGGTCAGACATCACACGCATGGGAGTCCCAGCCCCACCGTGCCCCAGACCAGTGCCCCTGCCAGTACCCGCGCGGCATTGCCCTTACAGCGACTGAGCCAGCAGTACTCGGCCACCAACTCCTTGTAGGCAGGGAACCGGCCTGTCTCCTAGGCACAGGGGGAGAGGACAAGGGGGTCAGTGAGTGCTGGCTGCCCCGGCGAACTCGATCTGGTGCCAGCCATGAATAATGCATCCCCCCCTCCCACCCGCCTGAAACCCAACCAGCCAGCAGCTGCACCAGCCCCCGGCACTCGGCTGAGCAGGGGCAGTGCCAGCGAAGGGACATGCCAACCCTGCCTCACCCAAGGGTCCATGGGGCAGGGTGTGGGTACCTTGATTGTGAGCATGATGTGGGTCTGCCCCTTGAGCACCTCCACTGCCTTGCTATGGCTTATGTCTTCAAACTTGACTCCATTGGCTGCAAGGACTTGGTCTCCCACCCGAATGCCGTTTTGCTCCGCCAGCCCTCCGGGGTCCACCCTAGGGAAGCAGGGGAGCAGGATGGGGCCAAGCCCTTGCTGGAGTCCTGCTCCTGCCCCACGCCTCCTCTTGGGTGGCCCCGTGACTCAGCACCCATGGTGGTAATGCCCAAAGTGTTGTGATAGTGGTGTGGCTCAGCCAGAGAGGAGGGGCTGAGCCCCAGCATGGGCACAGCAGAGATTGGGGTGTCACAACCCCTTCACGCCCCGGGGCAGCCGTACTTGGAGACGTAGATGCCGAGGCCGAACTCTCTGCCACCGCGGATGTTGAAGCCCAGGCAGTAGTCATCAGAGGTGGTGTAGAGGTGGACGATGCGCCGCAGCCCGTCCTCGGAGCCACTCTCCGATGGTGTCGAGCCGCTTTTCTCTACTACCAGGCGCCTGTTCACCACGTCCACCCTGGAGCATGGGTACAGTGTAGGTAGTCTCAGGGATTTGGGTCTTGTCCTCCAGCAGGATGGGACCATTGGTGGCACCCAGAGGAGGAGAGTGATGGGGATGGAGGATATTTAGGATGGGGCTTGCACTCACCCTACCTGCTCCAGACCTTCCTATCCCATCCTGTATCCCACTCTTGTCTCTCCCCATCTATGCCAGAGATTTCTGATGCCACTCCACCCTGGGTGTCCCCCACGGGTCCCTGTTGCCCAGAATTCCTCACCAACCTCCCCCAGCATGTCCTCCATGGGGTTGGGTTTTGGGGTGCTGGCATGGGACATGCCCTGCTCACCACGCCGTCTTCTCCTTGGAGAACTTGATTCCTGGCACACGGCCCATCCGCCGGACCACCATGCGGAGGCGGTTGTTGCCGGTGAGGACCTTGACAGCGCTGCTCATCGTGATGTTCTCCAGACTCACACTGTTCACCTCTGTGATCTTGTCGCCAACACACAGCCCGGCCTGCTCTACAGGGGACACACGGCTCATCTGGGCACCTGACCTGGTACTGATGCCCTCATTTGACATCCCCTACCTCAATGTCTCCTCAACCTGCTCTGAACCCCTTGGGAACAGAGGCAGGGGTGCCTGACAACTGCACTGAGTGGCTTGGGGATGGAGCTCAGAGTCATTGGCACAGGGCTGTCTACTCCTATGTCCTGCCTTTCACTTTGGACAGCCTGCAAATCTCATGGCCAAAGGCAGCAGGGAGCAAATGGTGGCTTTCCACCATGAAGGGCGGCATTGTTGCTGTGATCCCATGTCACTGGGAGCTCCTTGAGAGGGTCTTGCTGGCCTGTGCCTGGTGTCCCTCACCCTGACCCTCTTACCAGCAGTGCTCCCCTCCTCCACTTTGCTGACAAAGATGCCCAACCCATGCTCCGAGCCGCCACGGACGCTGAAGCCCAGTTTGCCGTCCACGCTCTTCTCCACTGTGATGGCATTGATGACATCACTCTCATTGCTGCTGGCTGTGGGGACAGGGGAGCAGACAAGTCACACATGCTGTGTGTCCAAGGGCAAGGGGTATCTCTCTCCCTGGAAACATCCCCAGGCCCAGGACAGCCCTCCCTGCCCCTAGACCCAGGGAATTCAGCCACTGGGGCCCTCCTGGCCATGGGGGCAGGCAGGGGGCCAGGACACCCCACACACCTTCGATGGGGGCATTGATGAGGATGACACGGCCCATGGGGGAGGCGGCACGGCTGCTCCGGGTGGTCCCATTGAGCAGGCGGCTCTGCTTGCTGAGGAGGTAGCGGGGAGCCAGGCTGGCTTCGCTGCTGGAGCTCCGCGAGCGGCTGCCTGTCGTCATCCCCGACAGCACCGCGTCCCACTCCTGGGCCATGGTGGTGCTGGGCACGCTGGCGTCCTGGCGTCTGGCTCAGGGCTGGCTGTGTCCTCACAGGGCCAGGGCTGCCCGTCAGCCAGCGGGGGACATGGCATAGTCCAGAAGCACATGCCCGGGCTTGGGCACCGCTCTTTTTTAGCAGTGCAATGCTGGGGGCAGCTGGCCTGGGCACTCGCCGCTGGCAAGACAGGTCCCAGGTGCAGCAGCACAGCCTGGAGAGACAAGGAGCTTTGTGACCTCCTCTCCAGCCTGATCCCTTCCCGTCCTATGCTGTCCCAAGGATCAAACTGTCACATAGCTCCTGGGTACTACCATGGGGGTGTGGGCACAGGCTGCCCTGCCCTGGGGTAAGGATGCTGGGGTGAAAAGGAGCTCTCCCTCGCAGCGTAAATCTGGAACAGGGGATGCAAAGGGGCTTTACTTGACAGCACAAATCCGGAAAGGCTCCAGAGAGGGAACACGGGGACATCAGCTTTATGCTAGAGAGCAGGACCTGATCCCTCTGGCCATTTCCTATCCTCCCCGGAGCCCCTCTGAATTCCCAACGCCATGTGGCTGGAGATGGGTGCACCAGTCCTCAACGCAGCTCCCGCGGGGATTTTCCAGGCGTGGGTGAAACGCCACCACGGTGCCCCCCCCACTTCATTCCCCGCTCGCCCCTGCCTGACCTCAATAAATAAGTGATGGCCCCGGCCGCGGGGACACGCCGGTATCCCCGCCGCTGCCAGCCCCACACAGCACCCACCCATTACCCCCCGCCAGCATCAGACGCGGGTGCCCCCTCCCAGAAGGGGCGCAGGGGACCCCCTACCGCCGTCCCTCCCTTCCCCCCGCCCCGTGCCCTCCTCACCTGTCCCCATGGTGCCACCTGCGAAAGAGACACCTGGCAGCAGCGCGGGGGGGAAGGCGAGGCCGGGGGGCAGCACCGCCTCCTGCCCCCCCGGCCGCGGGGATTGGCTTTCCCTGTGGGACCGGAGAGGCCATCGGGCGCGGGAGCTGTCAATCGAGAGCGGCCGGGGCTGGCCTTGCAGCTGGCGGGGGGGACACAGTCCCGTGGGTGTCCCCCGCGAGGGGGTCCGGGGGCGCGACCTCCGGGGAGGCTGCGTGTGGCAAGGGATGTGGCGTCCCCCCTGACCTCCTCCCTTAGCGCAGAGCATCCCGGGGGCACACGGGGGAAACTGAGGCACGGTCAGGGGAGGAGGGGTGTCGCGTCCCTCCGCTTCGCTCACTCCGGTGATGCGAGCCGGTATCCCCCCGTGTCCCCCTTCCCGGGGGGCATCGCCTCCAGCCCGGGCCGGCCGTGACCCCCCGGCGGGGCCCGGCGCCGCCAGCGCGAACCCGACACCGCGGCGGTTTCAGGTGATGCGCGGCGGCCGCGGGGACTGCGGGGGGGCTGCGGGCGGGCGGCGGGGGCGGGGGCCGGCGCGGGGGGGCCGCCCCGACAACGCCGGGGTGAGGGGCTGGGGGGGCACGGCCGGCGTGGGGACACGCACCCACATGCACACACACCCCATGCACCCGCACGTCCACGGCATGCGTGTCCGTGCCCTTGCGCGCACTCACGGACGCCCGCGGAGCGCCGCACACGCGTGTTCGTGGCCCCGCTCACACGCGCGTGTTCCGGCACGCACCGCCCCACGCTCGAGCCGGCGCCCACTCCCGCGGAGGCGCGGGCCCCGCGCGCTCCGGCGCAACAACCGCGACGCGCGTGGACGCCAACGCGGCGCGCGCGTCCGCGGCGCTACGGACACACGCGCGCGCGTGGCGCGGGCATCGAGACCCCGGGGACACGCGCGCGACTGACACGGGGACGCGCGGAAACGCGCACGTGAACACCCACGTGCAAACACACGCGCGCACGAGCACCCGAGCGAGCGGAGGCCGAGCCGACGTGCGAGCACACGCGCGCGGTCACGGGCAGGCGCGTGCACGCCCACGGGCACGCCCACAGACGCGCGGGAGGGCCGCGGGCACCGCGTGTGGCTCGGCACGTACCGCTCCCCCCGCCGCCGGCCCCGGTCACGCGTGGTCCCCGCCGCCCCCCGCGCGCCGCCCTCCCCGTCCCGCCCCGCCCGCCCGGCGCGGGGCCGCCCACCCGTGACGAGGCCTCACGTCAGCGCGCGCAGGGGCGGGAGTGGGGCGGTGGCGGCGGCGACGGCGGCGCGGGCACGGCGGGCGCTGTCGCGGGAGCCGTGAGTGCGGGGGCTGCCCCGGGTCCCTGTGCAGGGGGGTCACGCGTGGCGGGAGGGATGCTCGGCGCGGGAAGGCAGGGAGCAGAGCCCCGCTTCCCTCGGGGCAGGGCGGTGTGGAAATAAAGCCGCGCCGGGTGTGTCGGTGCCTTGCCGGGAGGGACGTTCCTCCTTCCAGTGCCCTTCCTCACTCCGCTCTCCCGGTGCTGGCAGCAGCTGTGACCCCTACGTGGTGGGTCCCTGTGCCCTCCTGTGTGACCGGGGTGCTCTGCTGGGGTGGGGGGTCCCTGATTTCTGGCGGCTGGTGTGGGCAAGGTCGGGGGTTTCTCTTTGGCACATTGCAAGGTGCAGTCCCATTTACAGGTCGCACCACCCACAAAATGCTTCATGTGCTGGGAGGGCCCAAGAATCGCTGCTGAGCTCCTTTACAAAGGGGCTTCCTGTTCACCCCTTGTCCCCCCAGGCGGGGAGAGCACAGAGCTGCTGCAGCAGGGATGGGGCGGGGGGACACACAGGCACCACGTCCCATATAACCCTTTCATCCCCTGCCCTGCCAGAAGATGCCACCGTCCTTGCCTGCCACCATCAACATCCGGGAGCCCCGCTGGGACCAGAGCACCTTTCAGGGCCGGGCCAAGCACTTCTTCATGGTGACCGACCCCCGAAACCTGCTGCTCTCAGGGGCTACACTGGAGGAAGCCCGACGGGTGGTGGAGGACTACAGGTACCCACTGGGAGGGTGGATGTACCCTCAGCACTGCTCCCAGGCAGGAGCCATTCCCAGGAGTGGGAATAGAAGTGATGCTGGCTCCCCCAGCCAAAGCCTCCAAAACTGCCTGGCTGGTCCCTAAAGCATCTCCCAGCTGTCCCAAAGGGTGTGGGAGATCAGTTTGGCCATGTGTGCTGGCAGAGGGTCTTTCAACAGGTGTTACCCTCACCTGGCAGGGCAGGCACCGTACACCCTGGGCTGACAGAGGACCAGCTTTGGCGGGCAAAGTACATCTATGACTCGGCTTTCCACCCTGACACGGGCGAGAAGATGATCCTTGTGGGGCGCATGTCTGCCCAGGTCCCCATGAACATGACCATCACTGGTTGCATGTTGACCTTCTACAGGTACCTGTCCTCTCCTCACCTCAGGACCGAGAGGATGCCTGGAGGATCCTCCTGGCTCTGGGGTGAGGAGGGGACACATGTCCCGTACCCCACTCGTATTCATGCTGTAGGAGCATGGGTGACATCCCCTAGTGTCTCCAGCACCCTCCTCTCTCTGGCAGGACCACACCAGCCGTGCTGTTCTGGCAGTGGGTCAACCAGTCCTTCAATGCCATTGTCAACTACACCAACCGCAGCGGAGATGCACCCATCACCCCCAGGTGAGCATCTCTCTGACCAGGTCCTCGAGGCAGCCCAAAACACCAGGGGGTGCCTTGCATAGCAGAGTGCTGGGAGATGAGACAATGGAGACCTGGTGAAGGCAGAGATGGATGCCATTGGGACTGTCAGGGTTAGTGGTAGAGCTGAGAGAGGAACCCAGATGTCCTGATGCTCTTGAAGGGCATGCTGTTCCTTCCTTTGGAGGGGCAGCTGGGATGGGGAGAGCCTGGTTTACTGGTGCCACTTCCTGCTCTTTCAGCCAGCTGGGGACAGCCTATGTGAGTGCAACCACGGGGGCAGTTGTCACAGCACTGGGACTCAAATCCCTCACCAAGGTAAGCTGATCCTTGGCCATCGCAACTGGGGGATGTGGACCCTCCACATGGGATCTCCCTGAGCTCTGAGCTGAGCAGGGAATTCACCTGGAGTGGGGGAGAAAATGAAGAAAAGGAGTTTGCTGAGGTTGCCCACACAAGGCAGCTGCTCTCCCCAGTGATGGCTGTGGAGATGGCCTGTCCCTCCAGCCTTGCTCTGGATGTATCTCCAGGCTTCTTTCACCCCTCAGGCTCTGTCCAGGCCTGGCAGGGGACCTGAGTCCCCCCAGACCCTTTGGTCTGTGCAGCTTTTACCAGCTGAGGGTTGCAGGGGAGGAGGAAATGCTTTTCTTTCCCCCAGTGGGGCTGGGACACCCCAAGGTCTTGCAGGAAGACAGAGGCAGACCCAGGGACAGCCAGCTGTGCCCCCAGACCCTCTGTGTGACATTCTCCTGCTTTTCCCCCCAGCACTTGCCAGCCATCATCGGCCGGTATGTGCCTTTTGCGGCCGTGGCAGCTGCCAACTGCATCAACATCCCGCTGATGAGGCAGAGGTGAGCCCCCGAGGTGGGACAGGCTGGCCTCAGGGTTTGTAGGCACTGGTGGGGAATGCGGGGACTTCCTTGCTGATCCTTAGCATGGGGGGATGGCTTGAGGGTACCAGCACCTGGTTGCAACCCAGGGGGTTATTGGTCCCTGTACAGCCCTGTTGAGGCTGCTGCCAAATGTGAATGTAGCTCCAGCTGAGACCCCTCTGATTTATTTTGTGGATGGGGTACAGGAGGATGCCAGCCTCCCTTGGAGACATGTCCCTGTCCTGTGTCCTGATCCCCTCACCATTGTGCCCTGTGGCCCCCTGACCCCCTGTGTCCCTGCAGAGAGCTCAAGCTGGGGATCCCTGTCACGGATGAGAATGGGAACCGCCTGGGTGAATCCACAGCAGCTGCCCAGAAGGCCATTTTCCAGGTGGTGGTGTCCCGCATTGGCATGGCAGCGCCAGCCATGGGTGAGTGTCCCTTCCTCCGCCTGTGCTGGGAGATTGCAGCTGATCCCTGGCAGTGTGGGATGGGGTCCCACTGCTGGCAGGGAACTGTGAGCACTGGGAGCTCATCTCCTT